GCCCAGGTCCGCTCATAACGTCACTACTATGACCCCTCGCTGACGTAATTGTAGATGGCTTTGTTGCAATTCATGTCTGCAGGCATGGACACAGCAGCTGTTCCAACTACAGTCCACTGTGACCACTTGATTGAAGCTCAAGTTGGTGGTGCTAAGGATTTGGCGCGTGCCGTTGATCTCAACAAAGAGGTGTACGATTTCTTGGCCACCGCCACCGCAAAAGTTGGTTGTTTGCGACTTGGGGTTTTTGTATTTGCTCATTAGTTTGCAGTATGGTCTTGGATTTTGGAAGCCGGGTTCTGGTATCATTCACCAAATTATCTTGGAAAACTACGCATTCCCTGGTGGACTCATGATCGGGACTGACTCTCACACACCTAATGCGGGAGGTTTGGGTATGGTTGCCTGTGGTGTTGGAGGTGCCGATGCTGTTGACGTCATGGCGGATATTCCTTGGGAATTGAAGTGCCCTAATGTCATCGGTGTGAACCTTACTGGCAAGATTGGAGGCTGGACTACGCCTAAGGGTGCGCGTGTCCTTGAATTGATTCTCTTGCATAGTTAACCCATCGCAGACGTCATCCTGAAGGTCGCTGGCATTCTCACTGTCAAGGGTGGAACTGGTGCCATCGTTGAATACCACGGTTCTGGTGTCGAGTCATTGTCTTGCACGGGTATGGCCACTATCTGTAACATGGGTGCCGAAATCGGCGCAACTACCTCACTCTTCCCCTTCAACCGTCGTATGGTCGACTATCTCAACGCTACCAAGCGTTCCGAGATTGCTCAATACGCACAGCGCTTTTCACACAACCTTAAGGCTGATGAGGGCTGCGAGTACGACCAGAACATCGAGATTGTTTGTGACGTTGTTAATGTCCTCTTCGTCCCGGACTAATATTTTGTGCCCAGAACCTCTCAGAACTCGAGCCTCACATCAGCGGTCCCTTCACTCCTGATCTTGCTACCCCGCTCTCGAAGTTCGCAGAGGAGGTCAAGAAGAACAACTGGCCCCAAGAACTTAAGGTCGCTCTCATTGGTTCCTGCACTAACTCTTCATATGAGGACATGTCACGATCTGCTTCCATTGCCCGCGAAGCTACCGAGCATGGCCTCAGTGTCAAGAGCAAGTTCACGATTACTCCTGGTTCTGAGCAAGTCCGTGCTACCATTGAACGTGACGGTCAAATTGGTGCTTTCGAAGAGGTCGGCGGTCTCGTCCTGGCTAACGCATGCGGTCCTTGCATTGGTCAATGGGACAGGAAAGATGTTAAGAAGGGCGAGGTTAACTCAAGTGCGTTTTCCGTCTCATTATACTACATTTTCTAACTAATGGTTTTTAGTTATTACCTCCTACAACCGTAACTTCACTGGACGTAACGATGCTAACCCTGCCACCCACGCTTTCGTCGCCTCTCCGGATATTGTAACTGCAATGGCCTTCGCTGGTGATCTCACCTTCAACCCGGTTTCGGACACCCTGATTGGTTCTGATGGCAAGCCTTTCAAGTTCTCAGACCCCACTGGTAATGAGCTTCCTCCTCGCGGCTACGACCCCGGACAAAACACCTTCCAGCCCCCTCCTGCAGACCGTGCTACCGTTTCGGTCGCAGTTGACCCTAAGAGTGACCGTCTTCAACTCCTCCATCCATTCACGGCTTGGAATGGCGAGACACCGTTTGACCTCCCCGTTCTGATCAAGGTGAAGGGCAAGTGCAGTAAGTGAAGTTCATTTGGAGTCCTTCCACTGCGCCTCATTATCGTGTCTAGCGACCGACCACATCTCGGCTGGTGGTCCCTGGCTTAAATACCGTGGTCACCTCGAAAACATTTCGCGTAAGTCGCCTTGCTTGGTGATTCTTTAGACTTTTTCATCTCACCCTGGGATAGAAAACTGTTTGATCGGTGCAATCAACTCTGAGAACGGCGAGGCAAACAAGGTCAAGAACCAGATCACCGGCGAATATGGTCCAGTTCCCCAGACTGCTGCTTACTACCGCGACAAGGGCATCAAGTGGGTCGTCATCGGTGACTCCAACTACGGTGAAGGTTCATCTCGCGAGCACGCTGCCCTTGAGCCCCGTTACCTTGGTGGTCTTGCCATTATTACCCGGTCTTTTGCTCGTATCCACGAGACGAACTTGAAGAAGCAAGGCATGCTTGCTCTCACCTTCGCCAACCCTGAGGACTACGACAAGATTCAGCCCAGCGACAAAGTTGACATTCTGGGCTTGGAAACTTTTGCCCCAGGAAAGAACTTGACTCTTGTTGCCAATCATGCGGATGGTAGCAAGGATGTGAGTTACTGGCTCTTGTATGGCGTTTTGTGGTGCTGACGAGATGATCTTGCAGGAAATTTCTCTTGCTCACTCCTTCAATGAGGGTCAAATTGAGTGGTTCAAAGCAGGCTCTGCTCTTAACCTGGTATGTTAAATTCTCGATTTGTATGTAGCAGGTTCACCTTCTGACCTTGTCGATATAGATGGCTGCCAAGGCCAAGCAGTAAATGGTGATATAGATGGAAGGAGCATGTGCTATGTTACACAGTAGACTCCATGTTCAGCTATTCCTCGCTTTCCGATACTTATTTCCTTGATCATTCACATCATAGTTTCGACAACTTGTTTATATATCTTTGTAATAACACGGACGACAAATCCTAAAAACATTTCGATCCTGGAGGTTACTCGTCCAAAGGTTCGTACATCATCATCTTCCGTCTTCTTTCCAGCAACGCTTTTCTTGCCATACTCTCTCTCCCGGATAGATGACCAGGTTGAGGTGGACGCAATAAGTCTGATCCAAAGGATATCATCGAAGACGCGGACGATGATTCGTGGCGAATTGGTTTAGGCCTTGAACGTCTCCGCTGCCCACCCCTCTTCCGCGACGATAATTTGGATTGTTCAGAGTACATAGTGTTCGTGCGCGATTTCGGAGCGTCACTAGAAGCAAGCGCCTGGTGCGACTGTGTAAACCCATACCCGTAGTTCTTCAGGTTCGCTGAGGCTGCTGCCACAGACTCAGAGGTGTAAACGCTACTGGAACTGACGTGCGAGGCATGGCTCTTATCCATATCTATAGGAGCTGCGTTGTGTTTCAACGGTACGCGGGACTCTTGTGTCCACACGGGTGCCATGCCCGGGCGAAGTGTTACCTGGCTATCGCTGGGAGCCAGGTTCGACTGCGATATGTCGGGGGACGAAACTCGGTCTCGAGGATGGCCACCCAGTCCACGAATGCGCAGTCCGTTTACGTCGTCGTCGTTCATCTGGGGTTCTGCAGAGTATGACGGTGGATCGTGACCATCGAGAGGTACGCCGTATTCGGAATCCGGAAATTGCTGTAGCCAATGGTTTTTTGCAGACCCCAGTGGAACGTCACTTTCTTCATATGTAGATGGGCGTTGGGCGCGGTTGCCAGCAACAGTGCCGAAGGCGGTCATGAAGTTGGACTTGAGGGCGGAGGCCCAACCCTCCGGGGGCTGGTGTTCGTTTACTATTGGGTCGTGAGGCCTGGGTTCAGCCTTGTCAGGGAGCGGTATGTCGTGCCAGTCTCCAGGGCCGATGCCTGGTGTGTTCTCCATCACTGGCTGTAGCCTCTCTCTAGGCGTGCGCTGGGCATGGCTCGGCGAGGGGAGAAAATGCGGTAGACCATTTCCTTCCGGTGGCAGGAAACTGTGCGTAGAATACTGGACACCACTCCTCGGTGGACCCAACTCGGCTACCCTTGTGCTGTAAAACGCTGGGCCACCGTGGCTTGACTCGTCACCAGATGTCAAGTCACCAGGGGCAATATTTGCTACCTGCAGCCGACCAAGTGTGCGCGGGCTTTCCTGTACGCTGAACGCGCTTGCGGAATTCGCGAGTACAGGTCGTCGTTGCTCCATGGGTGGGTAGACGTCGCCAGCGACTGTTCTTGAGGGATTGTACCCTGGTGCCCGATCATAGGCTTTGTAGAAATTCGCAGTCGTCGGCGTGTTTATGGGGCTGACAAAAGGACCACCGGTATTTCTCCGGACGAGAGACGCAGGGAGGTAAAACTCAGACTCTTCGTGCGGGGTGTGCACCTGCAGGCTCGGCTCGGGGCCGTCCTCGAGTGTATCCCTCGCCGTCCAAAGTTCGTCGTCGTCTTGCGTCTTTCGCGCTGATGCGCGCGAACGCAGCCACCAGGCTAGAAAAGCCAGGCAACAAGCGAGAACACAGACTGTGCCCAGGATGATCGCAACGTAGAACGGGGCGGAGAGCTCGGGTTTGGACGTGTGCATAGAAGCGGGGGAGACGAGTGCTGTCGGACGAGTGGATGTGCTGATGCTACTTGAGGAGTTGGGTGGATTGCTAGTGGTGGTGCGTGTCTGTGATGAAAACGAGGAACTTGGCGTCGCGCTGCTAAGCGATGAGGATATTGTGTCAGTTGCCGTAGCTGAGGACATTGCCAAGGCAGGGACAGTAGTCATCGACGCCTGGGACTGTGTCAACTGGCCTCCTGTCTGTATTCCGGTTGCACTGACGAGGTCAGGACTGGTCTGAGTGGCCGGCTGTGGTGCATATTCCGTCCTGCGGCTGCCTTCGGGGTCGTATGAAGCATCTCCAGGTCCTGCTGGAGGGTCTGAATTCACGATTGACGGTTGCCCGTTTTTTCCTAGAATCAAGTTGGAATCCGCTCTGCGATTATGGTCAATGTTGGCAAAGAACGGCATGCGTGAAATCAAAGATATAAGCATAGTATCGTTGGGTGTATATGCGCGCCTGGCGCTGAGCTACCAGAGCCCTGAAGAAGGTGAGGTGATTTGTCAAAATTAAGGGTACCGTCTCATTTCTTAAATCATGAAATGCGACGTTGCTTGAAATTCGAATCTAGACGGTCAGTCTGACACGTACAGCCTCGTCAACTATGGAATGGGCGTAATTGCGTGACTGCGGCGGCGTTGATTGCGCAAAGTCTAAAAGGAATGTAGATGAGATCTACCCTATTATCTATTCCCTCTGTAGTTCTACCAAGTCACTGCTGAGCGCTGAAGTGCTGCACTGGCATGTGATTTCGCCCCTAGGTATGGTATGTCATAATCGTTACCATATATGGTGTTGCCCGGGTGCGCTCGACCCTTGTTCTCAACGTCAGATGTACAAACTCAACTGTAATGTCTTGGGCTATGACCCAAGCCGTATTTTCTCAGTCAACGTTGCGGAGACGCAGACTGTTGATGACCTCAGAAAGGTCATCAAGGACGCGAACAAGCCAGAATTTGACCATGTTGCCGCTTACGATCTCAAGCTATGGCAGGTGAGTGATCTGATACCTACCATCGGATGTTGACGACCTGACACTGTGGAAGGTCGACCTGCCTATCGACGAAACGATCGAGCACAATCTTAGCAGTCTTAAGCTTGACACAAAGAAATCCCTATATAAAACACCTGAGGAGAATACTGCGAAGAGGCAACGTGTTGAGCAGGTGAGTAATCTGATGCCTACGATTGGATGTTAATGATCTGATATTTTGGACGCTTGACACAAAGAAATCCCTATCACCTGTGGCTCCAATGGAGAGGGTTTTTCCCAATGCTCCTGACCCTGAGCATCTACATATTGTTATCAGACCGCCCCACTTCAATATAAACTGCGTCGTCCTCGACGATCCTGACTATGCATTTACGATCAAGATTGCACCGACAGAGAATGTTAGCGCCCTCCAAAAGGCTATCAAGGACGCGAAGAAGCCACAATTTGACCATGTTGCCGCTAACCATCTCAAGGTATGGCAGGTGAGTGATCTGATGCCTATGATTGGATGTTGATGACCTGATAATTTGGAAGGTCAACATCAAACCGAACGACCTATACTTACTCGACGCGATCGAAGACCAAGGCGTGGCGTTGGAGTCGTTAACCGAACTGTCCGAAGCGTTTGTGGATGGAGTAGAGCGCGGATGCATTCATGTCATCGTACGAGAATCTGCAGTTGAACAAGGCGAAGTCAAAACCAATTATACCACGAAGCTCGACGAAGGTGAGGTTACACCGCCTGGTTATTTGACTCGCCGCTCAATATGTATTCCACACGAAGACTTCAAGAACGCTTCTTCTCACTTCAACTATCCTTTTCCGTCAGCAGCTGCTAAATCCAAAGAATATTGCAATATACAGCGCGGACCCAGGAGATTATGCGATGGTCGTTATGCTCATGAAAAACCAGCCGATACGACTGCACCACCGATACAGTTGTTCAATCCAGCATTCGCCTACTTCTCAAGCAAAGCGTTCGATCCTGAATACGTCGTACCCAATGAGGTGCTGCGTGATATCCAGAATCTCATGCCTACATTTGCGGCAATTCATCCCAGCGAGAATGACCGCAAAGTAAATCTGACTCCTCTGCTGGAAAAGGTGATCCAACAAACTTTATTGCACATGAAAGGTCGTCGTGGCGGTCATATTCTCGATGCTGATGCTATAGCTGTCCATGTTCATGGCCGTATTCCAATACACCTCGTGGTAGTTGAGGAGAAGAACGAGGTTGGGGATGGAGGTTCAGACCCTTCGGTCCAGGCGTCATTCTCCTTTGTACATCTAACTCGTGACTCACAGGTGCAATGTTTCGGCACCCTAATGCGTGTTACTCTTCTCACTGATACTCGTCACACAGTACACGGAACTTCGCTCAAAGTGTAATTGTCCTACCTTCTTGGTTGTTCACGCTGGACCTTGGCTAGCAGTTCTGGGCGCCGTCTTCACGGAGAAGTATATAGTCCAACGGCTTACGGACTTCATCTGGATCCCAGTCCGCTCTGCACTCGACGACGACCAGTTTCTTCGAATTGGGCGCGTCCTGTATGCACTTACGGAATCAGTCGCACAGCTCAGAGACTGGTATGACAATGTCTTGGAATGTGGCGAGCCGCCGTACGATACAACACGTCCTACTGTACACTCTCGCTTTTTCCCAACCCCACATACCTATCTACGCGACGAGATTCCCGTACAATTCAAATATGAGCGGCCCCTGGAACGCGATGCTTCGTGTGTGACTTACCTGGCGAAGACGCAGGAGGACAACCCGATCAATGTCGTTGTAAAGTTCGTCACCAGGTACGGCGAGGACGTTCACATGGCGATGGCAGAAGCTGGGTTCGCGCCGAAACTTTTGTATTACGGAAAGATTGATGTCAGGAAGGGGATGCCATCGTATGGCGGGCTGCGGATGGTAGTAATGGAATATGTGGACGGAACGACGGCCTGTAGTTCACTGCGACTGCCTCCCAGCTTTCACCAAGAGCTCGAGGATGCGATGAAGTGCTGCCACGAGAAGGGTTTTGTGTTTTGTGATCTTCGGAAGCCGAACATCATGATCACGAAGGACGGCAAAGTGCAACTGATCGATTTCGACTGGGCTGGACGCAAAGGCGAGGTCAAATATCCTGTATCCATCTCTCCCGCTATTAAGTGGCCGAAGGGGGCGCAAGGATTAGGGCCTATACTGGAAGAACACGATCGTGATATGCTAGTGCGCTACTGTAGTTAGACTTTCAATTCTGATGCGTTGCCACCAGCTTCAAGTTGTGCACGCCTATATCCCATGTACCGATCGGCTGCCGTCCTGTCTCCCTGCTTCGCCGTCATGCTCAGCAGTCCCATATCTCGCAGTTACACACCAGATAATGTTGTAATGTTTTGAACAACTTTCTCAGCAACTCTGTGAATGTGTAATGAGTTATGACCATGGCTAGGGTCAGGGCAGGGAGCAAAAATGTCCTTCCCATAATCAGGTTAGGTGTCACGCAGCTGCATACGACATGAAGAATAAACGAGGATTTCGAAGACGTCGATGTGGCTTCAAGTTCGATGAAATCACAGGGTCCATGCATAAAAGGGTAGCCATACCTACTAATAGCTGGTCTCTAAAGCATGGTGTCTTTGTACGAGCGCTAGCTAACCGTGCTTCCTGGCTCCTTCTCTCATTATTCAATTTCAAGTTAAATCAGTCACAATATGATCAGAACAAACTTCCCTTTCCAACGCCAACACTGCCTGAATTTTCAGATAAGAAAAAAGCAAGGCTTATTACTGTAGTGATACACACTGGAGACTGTGACATGTGGGACGTCCGACTCTGCAAATTTCCGTTAACTCGTCATCTGCTTTGCTCTTGATGAGTTCCTGGCCCTTCGGCTGACCGCGGCGGTGCGACCTGTTCTGGGACGAGCCTGGAAAGGTATTTGCTCTCTACTCGTGGCCAGCTTCCACGCCAGACTTGCCTTCGTTGCACACAACGACCCGGGCCGTTGTAGCTTGCCAGAGTTTGTAGCGGAAAAGAAAATCCGAAAAAGAAGGCAGGGTGTAGACCTAAGGCACCGGAGCTTGCTAGAGTGTAGCCTGCCGATGGGCGCAGTAGGGTTGGCGGAGAAGAGAACCCACATGCTGCACAGCCACTGCACGAAGTTCTTTGGTACACCATATTTAGGAAGCTCCTGACCGGCGAAACAAGAGGAAGCGAAAAACGATGACGAAGCAGAAGACGACGAAGTTGCAGTCATGACAAGTCAAACGCGATGAGGATGAACAGCTCAGAGATGTGTTTCTTGATTATATGGCGGCACCTAGGCAAAGCTAACGCGTTCAGAAACAGGAGGCCAAATCTGTCTTCAAGTTGGACAAAGCTGGCGATGTATGGAAGTCCTACTGGATGTCACTGACGCATACTAATGAGCGTGCACGTCATACAACTAGAAGTGTCCGCGAGTAAAAACCAGAGCAATCATGGCATCGCAATCAATTCTATAAGTCAAAACGTTGACTAGGTATAGTACAGTCCATCGTGAATACGCCTCTCAGAGGTAGACACTGCAGATCGTGAATTGTGGCATCTATGGTGTCATATAGGGACACATTGCTCACTGTTAAGAACATCGTGACAGCGCTGATGTTTCGGTCTACAATAATAGCTTATCATATTGGTAAAGGCATGAATATACCTGATAGTCTGAAGAAACCAGCTTCAGTAGTAGTTCAACATCTGTATAGAGATACTTGCCGACACTCTTATCAGGGTCGCACCAACATTTTCCTTTCGTGTGCACATCTCCCTGCAGACAGTGCTCAAAGTGGTCATGGCGATACCCGATGTCATTGAAGAAGTGAATTTGTTCCTTCTTCGCGAACAGTCCAGCTCCGATGCTATGAACTGGTGCATCTCCCCAACGCTATTCCAAATGAAACCATCTCCCAAAGCTTGCAAATGCAAGACTCACCTCATAATAGAATCCACCCTGCTCATCAAGATAGTCGAAGAATTTCGAATATGCCTCGCCCCGCCAGAAGTCGAGATCTGCTATTTCAAAGTTGCCCCAGACTAGCCACGTGTTTTCATTAGCACGGGAAAACATCCTGATGTGCAGTAACCTACAGTGGCACAGACTGTAGGATTCTCCGCCATCATCACAGAGAAATTCCATTGTATTTCCAGGAGTTACCAAGTCAGGATTAGCATCAATGAAAGCTGCAGGAAGGTGAGATTGAAATCATAGTAAATGCTGAATAAGTACGCTTACACTTTACAGTGTTCCATAGCATTGGGATTGTAGTTGGGAATTTGTATAATGATATAGTAAAGCCTGTTGACGTTTGAGACTAGTGTATGATCGAAAGCATCATTTGATTTACCATACACCTTGTTTTGGTCTTGCATCATGAGAAAGGGATCATAGTCCCACATCGCAGAATAGCTGGATGTCTGGCCTGATTGGGGAATATAAGCTACATCACATCTCCTTCAGCTGCGTCAACTCACTCGACTCTCCAATAGTACCGGTACTTCTGCAAGAGCTCATGTTGATAGAAGAACTAGGAACTAGTGAGACAACCTTGCCAAGACGCATTACGATCGCGTATGCCAGAATTGAAGCGACACATGTTCTGGTATCTAGGAGCAGTTGGCCAGAAGCAGTGATGATAACTTAGCATACACACGAAACGCTACCTGGAAAATTGTCACACTACATGTATGCTTAGAACTGTAAGATAACCTACCTCCGTAAATCACATCGTTCTTAACCATGTCATCGCGAGACTTGCTTGCTCGTTCTTCATCGATCCACGATGGTTGATGCCAATGGTCGGATGGGATGAGACTGAATTCGACCGTGGCATTGGTTAAGGCCCATATGTGACTTGATAGGCTGTTAGCAGTTTCAAGAATTCGAGTGTAAAGGGGCGCACTGTTTGAAGCTCTGCGTAAAGGGCTCGTCGTTGAGGAAGACATAAGGATACTGGAACTTCCTGTTGAACCTATCCTCGAGTTGCTTCATACTACTCATGATTCCCCAAAGCTCAGAGTTCTGTACAAGTACGATGATCGAGGTGTTCGCTCTGCGATCTTGTAAGTGCATGGACGAATCGGGCTTGCAGTACTCGTCTGGCACGGGTGTTTTGTAGAGAGGGTTTGACTTTAGACCAGTCCATTGTTCTGCGATATTTGAGATGGATGTCGCCTTTCCGTATTCCTCATACGTAAAGCTCGTGATGTAGTGAATTGAAATCTGTTCCAATGTCAAGCCAGGTAACTTGTCAAGTTTACGTGAACACGTACAATAACGCTCAAGACAAGCAAGATGTAACGCATTGGGGTCATCATATTTCCTCGATAGAACAAAAGGTAACTTGATGGTAAATGCAGGAGGAAAGTGGAGAGATAAGACTGCTGTTGGTCGCGATGGAAGAACTGTGAGCCAAAAATATCCGTTGCTCACGCCCATAATGAAGTGCAGCATGAAAGTTTTTCCTCGAATCAGAGCTCCACATCTTCCATCTCTTCTCGATTTCAGTCTAGAAAATATATCAACACACCAACCGCTACATATCGTCGTGCCTGGTCAGCATATGTGATCGTAATCGTGAAAATATGCAAAGACAAATAATGCGCGCCACTGGAGCCATCTAGTTCTGAGTCGGCATAAAGAATCATCTTCATCACTGACATCAATGACTCCCTGTTCAAACTTTATAGCGTCAATATTGCTATCCTGTTCCAGATTGTCTCTTGCATCCGAACCGAGAGCAAAAACCTTGGATTTCCGCTTTACCTGTCTCTTCTTCACAGGTGCTGGTGATGAGATTGAAGGATGAAAGGAGAAATTCGCCTCAAGTTTTCTGCTTCATCCTCTTCAGACATGATGACTTGCTAACATTCATCGAGTTGTATGCGTGATTTATGAATGGAGTGTTTAGATACAGACATTGTGGTTGCTCTAAAGCAGTTGTGCAAGCAGTGCGAACAAGAAAAATGTATGCTTTGTTCCAAGTAGGGCCACCATAGTGACCCCGACCTGTGCAAGAGTAAGGCGAGGTGAGCTGATATCCCCACATTAGCAGGAGTGAATGCGACGCACCGAAGTAAACCTTGAATCCCTAAATTGTAGGAGCCGTAAGGGGACCCATAGAGGTGAGGCTACATGAGAAGATGGTTAGTAGGAAAAGTAGTACAAAGGCATCCGCATGAGCATAAGTGCGGGTATCTGTGTCAATACAGGCCCATCTGCGTCAATACGAGCATCCGCGTCAGTGTGGACATATGCGTTAATGCGGAGATCCATGTCGGTATGAGCATCTGCCTCAATGCAGAAGTTCGCGTCGGTGCAAGTGTCTGCGTCAATACAGGCATCTGCGTCCACGAGAGTGCGAGAATCCACATGCGCATGTCAGAAGGTGTTGGCAAGGACGGTAGTACTCACGCGAACAAGCTTGAAAAATCAATGTGCCATAGTACCTTCAAGTGCTCTCAGTGACTCGTAGCCGGCTTCCCTGCCGGACTTGCTTTCATTGCGTGCGGATGCACGCAAGAATCGGGGCCATTAGATCTCACTGGAGTTTGTAGAACAGAAGAAAATCCGAAAGGTGGAAGGTGGCAGACTGCATACAGGGCACTGTGGGGGAGGCGGAGAAGAGAAGCCACATGCTGCACAGCTGCTGCACGAAGAAGCCCTTGTTTAACCCTACAACCCTCTGCTATTTCAAATATGATGTGCAAGAACTTGTCTTGTATGCCTCAGCATAATATTGCACATGGTTGCCTCAAGGTTGCCTAGGCCTCATGGTACACAACCATATCAATATTAATATCGCCCATTGAGCTCCTGGCTAACACCTTGCAGTTGTTAAGTAATTATCAGATAGAAAACATGGGTGTCACAAGAATGGTATGTGATATAGCTCTTGAGTGGGAGAACCACTGAGATCGACGTGGACTGACATGGTTATTCAAGCTTCAAGTTCAAGGGTCAATGAAGGAACTGGCTGTCTTCTAGTTGCAATGCCTGACTGTGGGAGACTTGATGGCACACTTGCGACAGTTAACTAATCTTGAATATGAATCGATGCCAACACACTTCATACGCCTCATGTTACACAGCTCTCCTTGCCCATTGCCTGAATCTAGATGCTGGCTTAGGGTTGGGTATTTTCTGTGTTCACACCCTGCAATGATTATAAGGCTACACCAATGCTTCTCCGTGACTCACATTTACTACCACTTCCCCCATGGATCCCTCAAGGATAAGAGAGAAAATCGGTCGCTTTCGAATACTTGTTATAGGAAGAGAAAACGCAGGGAAAACTACCATCCTTGAGAGAGTCTGCAACACACGGGATAACCCTGAAATATACAACAGTGCCGGGGAAAAGGTGGGCATCACAATGCTGGTAGGAGGATGGTACTGATCCATCGACGTCAGATCGATCCTGCAGTTTTAAAGGCATCTAAAGAGGTATCAAGGTGTGCTCTTACTTCAGGACATGAACTGATGTACTCTCAGCGTGGAGAGCACGACATCGAGAATGAAATGGTGTTTCAAAGTAACCCGGGATTTGTGTTCCACGACTCATGCAGGTTCAAGACAGGCAGCACATCCAAATTTGAGATGGTCAAGGCATTCATTGCGAGCCGCTCTAAGGAAACCAGCATAACAAAGCAACTACATGCCATCTGGTAATTGCAGCTGATCAATTGTGACATGTGCTATCTCACAATTTCAACATAGGTACTGTATCCCAATGGACGAAGCAAGCAGGGCGTTCACTGCAGGTGAAAATAAGTTTTTCTCTCAGTGCGACACAGGAATCAGTAAGCTTTTCGCATCCCACCCTCACTGACATTCGACTGATGCGCAGAATCACAACCCTCAGTACCGGTCATCATATTATTCACAAAGTTTGATGCTCTATATGACGTTGAATTTGCAAAACTAAGGAAGGAAGGAAAATCCTGGAAAGACGCTAAGGAACTGGCCCCGACACACGCCGAGGAGTCATTCACCAATGGCCCACAACTGAAGTTTCTCAAGGAAGTCCAATGGCCTCCAAAATGTAATGTATGCCTTCCTGGTAAGCCGGTTCATGATCGAGTCGTGATACACGATGACCATTGATCTATTAGACATGGACAAGGATGGTGCAGATTGCGGGATACTCATGGAATGCACGGCTGGAAGTCTGGACAATGAAGTTCTTCAGCAGTTATTTGTCTCGACCCAGCAGAATAACTTGGAGATCTGCATGAAATATGCAGTTGAGAGGTAACTACACATGGACTGATTCACTGGCCGCAAGCGTTAGCGACCAATATGCACAGAACACTTCCAAAATATTTTGACTCTGCAGAGACAACAACATCTGAGGGTTATGAGAGGGTAATAAGGTCATTGGGCGCTTGGTTTCCACACATTTTGGTAAGATTATCATAAAGTTCAAAGGCTCTCATATACATTGGGTGTTTATTTGCAGGTAGTACATGTGTCGATTTTCGTTCGAACTCAAGCCATGCTGATCCAAGTCTTTACTGACCGTTGCCAGACAGTGAGTGTGTCGATCGTCATTCGAGCAAGAGCCATGCTAATCCAAGTCGTTGTCCACTGTTCGCAGTCTGTGAGCGTGTCGATCGTCGTTCGAGCAAGAGCCATGCTAATCCAAGTCGTTGTCCACTGTTCACAGTCTGTGAGCATGTCGATCGTCATTTGAGCAAGAGCCATGCTAATCCAAGTCGTTGTCCACCATTTGCAGTCTGTGAGTGTGTCAATCGTCATTCGAGGAAGAGCCATGCTGATCTAAGTCTTTGACCACCATTCACAGTTGGTGAGTGTGTCGATCATCATTCGAGCAAGAGCCATGCTGATTCAAGTCTTTGACCACCGTTCACAGTTGGTGAGTGTGTCGATCATCGTTTGAGCAAGAGTCATGCTGATCCAAGTCATTGCCCACCATTCACAGGAAGTAAGTGTGTCAATCGTCATTCGAGCAACAACCATGCTGATCCAAGTCGTTTTCCACTGTTCATAGTATGTGAGTGTGTCGATCCTCATTCGAGCAAGAGCCATACTGATCCAAGTCATTGCCAACCATTCGCAGTATGTGAGCGTGTCGATCCTCATTCCAGCAACAGCCATGCTGATTCAAGTCGTTGCCCACTACCTGAAGCGTGTGAGCGTATGATCCTCCTTCGAGCTCCAGCCACGCTGATTGAAGTCTTTGCCCACTGCTCAAAGCGTGTGAGTGTTTGATCCTCCATCAAGCGTAGCCTTCCTCAATAAAGCCATCGCCCGCTGATCCGTTGATAGCAAGTCAGTTGATTCTTTGTCGAGTTCAACCATTCCTGACCAACCCAATTGATCATCTATCGCCAGGAGGTCGGTACATTGATCCTCCACCGACCATCAGCTACTGACCGAAGATACCATCTATCCGTTGACAGCTTGTGAGTTTCCCGACCTCCTACCTTCCTGACCGATGCAATCACTGATTTATTGTTAGGATGTGAGTGTATTGATTCTACGTCGTTCTAACTGACCAAGCACGATACCACACCATTAACAGATTGTGAGTTTCTTGATCCACCATCAAACACAAGCCATACTGACTGAATACATCGACCATCCATTCACAGCGTGTAAGCACATCGACCCGCAGTCGAATTGGGGCTCCACTGACCATTTAAATTGCTGATTCCCATCGACAGTTCGTGAGTGTGTTCATCCACGATCCATTGAGCTTGAGCCTTGCTCACCGAAGATATCATGTTGACAGTCCGTGAGTCTAGAGCCTTGCTAGCGAATGACATCACTGATCCATCAATAGGACGACCTTCGTAAAGATCACCGTGTACAGATACAGTCTAGGTTACTCTCTGTGGTATGTCTAATTGCTTATGGATTGTACACACATTTCTCATGTTGTGACTCTGTCAGGCCTCCAACTCATCACCCCTGGAGAATATCGTTCAGCTCATTTCTGGTGAATTTTGAGGCTACGTCGCAATGAACCTGCTCATTATTGGACGTTTAGCTGCTGTCATTATCTTTGAACACTCTTTCGACATTTTCGACAAGCGGCGCTATCTTCAGGATGAGGAGTCTGATCCCTCGTTTTATGTTGCTCTCGAGCAGTACATGGCATCTCCACATGCAGCTGCTGTCAGGGAAGCTGTGAACACTGCCGTCCATGCATATGAAGAAGCTGTAGCTACTGCCGTCCAGGCATATGAAGAAGCCATGAGGACTGCTGTCTTCCCATATCAAGGAAGACTGTCTGCTTGGATGGCGAAGTTACCGTTTAAGCGCTTCAAGAGGAAGGCACAAGAAGCTTTTGAACACTCTCAGGAGGCGAAGCAATCCTTTGAATGCTCTCAGGCAAAGGAAAAAGAATCTTCGTGCACTTAAACGAAGGAAGAGTTGATCAAGGCTGTTATTGAAATCGCTCTAGATCATCACTTGCATATGTTTCATTGTCACATTGTGGCAGCACTCCCGCTGATTCACTTGTTTTCAGTTAGACCTTGATGTTGGGCAATGCAAAACACACCATCATGAACAATGATCATCCGATTCGGAGAGGAGTCTGGGCTATGAAGATTGTTTGTCGAGGTAGATTTCAGGATGTGGAACTGTCTGAGATAGTTGTGTGATCATGTGATATGGTGCTTTGTGTGGTATACATGTTTGGAGAATGTCAGTCACCCTCAGTCGAGACTGTGGCGAGAGCCAACTGCACTTGATGTGCCTATCAAGTATCCATGGTACAATTTGAAGTTCAAGGTTATGTGATACTCCACAGCCTGTCTCTCAACTTGCATGATTTTTTCGAAAGACATCCCATTTATTATAATTTTGACCTTACACTCTGTGTAGACACGTGGAATTGAATGTTCCCGGTAACATCAGTGACTCCACCTGGTGCACCAGTGATGGATGAGATCTTTACAAAGACCTGTCTATGAGCGGGAGTTATTTGAGGGATATTGAGGGATAACAAATGTGCAGATGATCATAGCTGTTGGTTCTGAAATTTTATGAGGTAAATGCATTATATACATGCAGCGTCAGCCACTCCTTTGTGCATGCCATAGTCAAAACCCATTCTCATTCTCACTATTATGATAGGCCATCGATTGTGCAGATCATAACCTGGGTCTAGATACCTCTTCTCGAGGGACTGACAGGCGATGCCATCGTGGAACAAAGGAAAAACAGACTTACAGGATGTCGGCATCAAGTCGATGGAGAATTCCGCAGTGTTGGATGTCACCTATGCTATGGCTCCAATCAGCTCTTATTGTATTATGCGTGTCTTACAAACACATGAGCATGTCAAAATTGGTACACACCAGAGATCACAGCATGGGGAATATTAGGCCATGGAAATTGCTCTAGGGGTCTAATGCAGATATCCCGCAGCTCTGCTTCCGCTTTTTTCTTGGCGGGTTCCTCGATGGCCTTGTCGCTCAAGGAGGGCAGATGTAGCGAGTGCTTGTACCCTCCCGTGAATGCAGGGGCTTATGTGGACTGTTGGTGTTGTGGGTAGCCTTTGTTTGAGGCATGATTTATTTGCATATCAAGAGTCTGAGGGGGCTAGGGTGAGGGACTTGAGACTGGGGTTGCATGCCCAGATGGCCACTTGTGCCGGAGTTCAGGTAATTGACAGATAAAATGAATTCATTGGACATGTGTCTAACATGTGTGTGGATGATGAGTAGGATTATAAGTGGAGGCACATATGGCAGACTGGAGCGTGATTCAGATGCGTCAGGGTTTGAAATTTGGACTCATTGTGGGCCCGTCAATTCTTGCATCATGCTGCTCATGTGAATGTGAAAAACAGTAAGCATTTTCAAATCTCCCCATCGGGACATGCATTTTCTATTTCTATCGTGAAGTGTCTTTCCCTACGCTGCGCCGGTGGGTCGTTAATCTGGATTTCAAATATATCGCGACCTGTTTTGCTATTTTGGAGCACTTGTCCATTGGGCTTTTTGACGATCGCATAGCAGTTGACCTGCCCCTGCTGTCGAACTGTATCCGTTGGTGCAAGCAGCTTGCAAGTATGTTGCCCACCTCTCAACTCAGCAGCATGGAACCAGATTTCCAACCTCCCTACCCTCCTCAGTGAGCCATGCGGGGCTCCTCATCGGCCTTTAATTTGGGCCAGGACACCGCCAACTTTGCACCTTTTCATAACTTTACAGGTCTTTTTTTTCATGTAAAAACGGCTGCATACACTATCACAGTCATTTAACACTCACAATTCCCCTCCCTAGAAGAGTTTGTAGTAGAGGCCAGTGTTTTGCCTTCGACAGAGGCCGAGCAACTCTGTCACGCGTTCTCCAACCACAAGGTAAATCAAAACCTTCAACACCTCCCCTGGTCCAACAGTTGGGAAGCCCTCAAGTAACTCTTTGACAGTGATCACATGATTCTTTTATTTCACTCAGCCCCAGACCCTGCAGCTCGATTTTCCTCATTGGTACTTCAACCTCAATAACAACTGTCTTTTGGAAGCCATGGCAAGCTGGCTACATGTCCGCTTGCTAGAATCAGTGCACGGAGAAACGGTAACCCGTCGTCTTCCACAGACTATTCACAGTGCTCTCTCAATGGTTCCTGCTTGCTTAGGTCGGATGTAGCAACAGTGTAAAGAGTAGATTCTATGTGGGCGCTACAAAAGTGTTACCTTAAGACTCAGAGTGCGAGTGAGATGTTCGTCCCAAAGAGACTGCCTATAGAAATGCTCCTTGATATAAAGCAAGGGATATCTTGTTAAGATTGAGGATGAGAGAAAGGAATGTTACTAAGAGCACGCTCAATGTTCCGAGGATGCGTCTGAAGAGGTCCGAAAGTGGTCCGAAGATGGTCCGACGTCAAGAAACGAAGGTCCGAGGTTGCGCGAAGCGTCCGAAGAGCTTCCGATGAACAGCGAAAGTTCCGAGAGAAGTACGACGGTGTGTCGAAGTATAAGACTCGCGAAGTATAACTAAACAAAGCCTATCGAAAGTACTTTGAGACAGCGAGATGCGGAATGGCAGCGGTCAGGCCAAACAATCGTTCCGAATGAACAAAAGGTCGATTGTGCGAAGTACGACTATCCGAAAGTGACTCTACTAACTATGACTCATAGCAGGGAAAGTGAAGTGCAGTGCGAGTAGCTAGCAAGGCAGATTATATCCTACAGCGTGAAAGTTCAGAAACTGCATAGGTGAAACCAGTAGCGAGATAAGACATCTGAAATGTAATAAGACTCAAGGCGAGCCGCTACAGAGATATGCATGTAATAAGACGCAAGGCGTGTATAACCGACGGGCCGACGACACATGTGCCCCTAGACATAATCAATAACAGATAACCAAGTGAAGAACGCACCAGCGAAGTCAAACGGACATGAACGGGACATGGTACGGAGGATCGGAACTGTATACAAGCCTCGGAAATGGACGGACGACCTTCGGATGACTCGGACGAATGCATGGAACTCTCGGAAGGTAAAATGGAGTGTCGAGGAATGTGTATGTGGAATACCTATGAGTTTGGCAGGATACGAGCCCAACACCAATCCGAGTGCTACAACGGACACTGTCAGAGTTGATATCGGTTTTACAGTTGAGTCATTTCAACATACCACCCTAGAATCATCGAACTTGACCCGGTCTCATTTAGCAGACACTGAAGCTGTTGTCCGTATCCTCTTCCCCATGCTCCCTCGCACTGACCGAGTCACTGACCAGCGAGACTCATGGGACTTCGAAATTTACTTTGTGAAACAGTGGGACGAGGTCAACAGCTATCTCGATCTTTCAAATGGAAGCCCCGAGTCTGAGGAGACGGACTGAGTGCATTCTTTGCACCACCTGACCAAAATACCGTTTTCATCATCCCACTTCTCTTTTTCTTTCTTACGCTACCGAATAACACCACTCAGAAATCCATGTTCTCCTTAGATTTGTCTCATGGCTTCCAATATCACTTGCATGCGCGCCATTGAAGGATTTAATTGATGAGAGGATATGCCGCACCCCATCCAGATATTGTGTTAAGTGGTAACTAGACAACTTCACCTGGGATCATCATGATCTGAAACGAGTCAGAGGTACAAAAATGATCTCAGCGGGACTACGACAGTACTAGGCAGCTTCTGTGAGCATAAGAAATGATTGATTAATCATGACAGACTGATGAGGAGTTCAGGTGTCAGTCTGGAGATGTAAGTGATCGAAATATGGACCTTTCAGATCTTCAAAGCTTCAGGCCTCAGGCCTCAGGTGCAATCTCGCAGTGAAGGCGGCTGAATCTCAAGGTATCACCACATCTACAGGACTCTTGCAATATTTGTGGTAAGAACCTCCGGGCCCCACATCATGATGGTGGAACGGATCCTGCGCGTACATGTGTTCGAGGTGAAAATGATCGTTATTCAAGAACCTATAAACCTGAACCCATTATTGTATGGCGAGATACATATCATTGGCTCGGAAATCCTTTGCAACACCTGCAACAACATACGGGACCTTCCACGAGCCTAGAAACTTGTGCTTTCGCTTTACCTGTCTCTTCACAGGTGCTGGTGGTGAGATTGGAGATGATGGAATGAGAGAATCGCCTAAAGTTTTTGCTTCATCTTTGTTGGACATGGTGGCTTGTTAGCTTTCATCGAATCATGCGCGTGATTTATAAATGGAGTGCTTACCAGTGATACAGACTCTGTGGGTGCTCTTATGTGGTTGTGTTACTGAGAACGAGAAAAATGTCTGCTTGGTTGCAAGCAGGGCCCCGATAGTGATCCCGACCTGTGCAAGAGTGAGCCGAGGTGAGCTGCTATTCTCACATCAGTAGGAGTGAATGCGACACACCAAAGTGAACCTTGAATCCCTAAATTGTAGGAGCTGCAAGGGGACGCATGGAGGTGAGGTTACATGAAACAGTTAGTAGCAAAAGTAGTAAGAACACATCCACGTGAGCACAAGTGCAGGCATCCACGTCAATGCAGGAGTTCACATCGGTGCAAGCACCTGCGTCAATGCAAGTATCCGCGTCCACGAAAGTGCGGGAATCTACATGCGCACGGCAGCAGGTGTTGGTAAGGACGGTGATCACGCTCACCACTGGTAGAAGGTCTGGGTGCCATGGATGATTCCTCCCCTTATCAGGTTTTGTGGTGAGGAACCTGACGATGTAAATGATCGAAATATGGCACAATATTCATGATGAGAACTTCCTGGAATGCCGGATCCTGCCGATTCCTGCGCATGGATGGCCTCGAGCTTGAAAAAAAAAGGTCGTCATCTCAAGAGGTAGGGGAAATTCAAACATCTGATATCAACCTGGACAAACTTCGCATGCCACCACCACCACCGTTACAGCGTTATGGTCACACTAATTAGACCATATATAGTAATTACTTCCGACTTTCAAAGGCTAAAATAATACGAAGAACATTGTTAAATGCGAGTGATTGAAGTGAGAGTACAATGAAATGTGATATTGTAGTTGCGAGTACAATTTGTAGACTACGATTATGTGAATTCAAACCATAGAAAGCATAATGAAGGCACTACGAAGGATATCAACGGATCAAAAGCAGCTCAGCGGATGAAAACATGATAGCGGAGGACAGAATGATTACACAAGTAAAGTACACGCAGTCTGAAGAGGTTTGATAGTGGTGCGAACGTGCTTGGATGTCATGGGTCCCACAGATGCTGTTGCTGAGTGTTTGAGGGAGCGAGAACCTGAAGCTGGCACATTCTCCTTCCCCTTATGCGAAGGTTGCCTACACTCTGTCGGGATGCCAGCGGAGGCCTGTTTGAGCTCACTCAACTCCATAGACTCCCAGACACTCTCAGGCAAAGGAACACCGGCCTCTCTGCATCCAGGAATGGCGTACTCTTCGTGCTCGCTGAAAATATGAGCGGTCATATTGTAGCGCCAGACACTTTGGACAAAAGCAACTGGCACCTTGCGCGAAGTTTTCCCAGGTTTAGGAGGGAGGGTTGGATGGCATAGACCGCACTTCAAGGGTACGTTGCGGCAGGGATTGTTCTTTGATCCATGATCCGCAAATCCATATTTGAACATGTGTCGGTAGGCGCACTTCATTTCCCAGTCTGGGGTGCCGCTCGCAGGAACCTTGATGGTAATGGCGCATTCGGGAAGTCCAGAACGGCCGCAGAATCCCCATGGAAGAGCATCGCCGACCTTATTCAAATTAATTAATCGTGTAGAGTAGCATTTGAAACAAGAACATACCGGTTCTTTCAGACTGGTCTTCTCGGGTGTGTTTGTGGACACACGCAAGATATGCTGGCCAATATGGGCACAGATATTGGTGACTTTCATGTGGCAGAGGGGGCAAGTAGTGACACATTTGCCTTTGGATGCAGATAGAAGATGACCTGCTTCGATCGAGATGATAGCTAGTGTACCTGATAAGAATCATTAGCGACACATGTTTCAATTGATGTGATCAAAGATGTACCATCATTTGATCGATAAGGAAACATATCAGTGTCTGAAGGGGAAACTTGCACAATGGATTTGAGAGGGACTTTGGTTTCGACAGCCTTCGCCCATAAAATGTCGCAAGCAGCTTGAAGTGCATCTTGATGTACTTGCCAAGTGCTTTGCCCACCTTTGATCTCCTGGAACTGGTCAGGATTGATGTCATCCCGAAACTGGATGAACATTGGCTTGGGATTAACAGGTTCGACGAGTGAACCAGGCACGCTGACGACCACAACATGTTCTGTTGACTCCTCAGTTCCAGGGATAATAGAGTGAGCCTTCATGTAGCCTCCATTCCATAGGAAAGATGTTGGGGACTCAGGTGAGGGACATGTTGGGATGATAGTTAAGAGTTGTCCTGTGACTTTAATTGTTGACTGTGAGGCCTTCATGACAGCAATGTTCATTGATGCACAAGAAATATTGAGCAACGTAATGAGTGTTGACCGCAAGATTCCGATGGAGAGTGTAAGACCTGAACAAAAAATTGTAAGGAAGATGTCGCCAATGAGGAATGAGTGTTGATCCGTTATGCGGCCAGCAGACATGTCAATTCGCTTGTTGACCTTGGTGTAACCCGCACGAATCCGCTCCAGTCGATTGTGAGACTTGGAAATGAAATCCTTATTGATGACCAGATGGCACACCATCTGTTTGTGAATCCACTGGCCTTTGAACAATAGGTAGTCATCAGGATGTATTCCTGGACCTTCAGGCAATGGGGGAGCAGATGGGTCAACGAGAAGCGGAAGATGATGTCCAGTAGGTGGAGCATCGGAAATGGACTCCGCAGTCAATGCCTTCTCGAAGGTCAGCATGACTTCTTTGGAGTCAGCCTCAGCAGGTGGGATTGGGTGAGAATTTGGTACTACATTATCATGAGAAGTGACAACGGGCACAAGTGGGCTATGGCGCGAGGAGTGAGCTACATCTGGTGCAAATTATACAACTTACCTCTGAGGGAGGAGTTCCTTGTCTGCCTCTGAAATCCCAAAATATTTGTTTTCTCCGAAGGGACGCAGCATGTCGATAGCCAGATCATGGAAGAGCTCGATGAAGGAGAAATTGATAGGATCAACTTGTGAAGTACTGAGAATAGAAATAGCCATTTCCCGGCCATTGCGCCAGGCAGTTGGGAGATCACAGCACCCAGAGACGATGTCATCTTTCCACATGTCACGGTTGATGTGGTCTATGTCCTCGACTCGGGTGCCCAGGCTCAGATGACGATGGCCTGGATCCAGCTCGGGATGGTGCTTCAACACGCCATCAATATCTTTGGCGGCACCCAAACGATTGATCACCTGTGAAAAAGAGCATCCAGAGTTATGGCCACCTATCATCTGAGTGCGACCGAAATGAAGTTCTAGACGGTCATCTCCGGAGTCACCAAGAAAAAAGGAAGCATGCGGATCAAGAACCTGTTGCTTCACTATGGAAAACATAATACTCTTGACCATGGTGTGCATGTCGTAGTAGAGTTGATGAGACATGAAGGAGCGTTGGTGAGAGCGGAAGAGGGTGAATGAAAGATGAGTGAATCGGCTGAGATACTGGACCTGTTCTGTGAGCGAAAGATTGACATTGATGAAGGGAATGAGGAAAGACTTGATCACATCACTAAGGAGCACGATTGACATCAAGTCAGCACGTCTGTCGATGTTGGGAGAAAATGAGTCATTCAGGAAGTCGCGCTGTGACTCAGTGAGCCCGATGATAGCTTTAATAAGTTCTACTGCTCGGGGGACGTCTTGTGGATCATTGGGATGCAAGAGTTTCATGACACTGACTTCATCATAAGCAGGCAGCCATACCAGATAGCGAGAGAGCATCATAGCATTGATGACCTGTCCATTGTTGAGTGTGATGCCCAAGGGAGAGCATATTAGCGTGCATATACCTAAATTAAAAGAATTGTCAGACTGGAAGACTCAATAAACATTGAATAAAAACTTACGTTTGAAAATATGCTTTGGATCAAAGTCTAGTGTTACGTCGTCATCGCCTGTCCACATATTCAAGCCAGGCATATTGATGAGTATACCATATAACAGCGACTCCGAGGATAAGGGCTTCTTCACAAAAAGTCTATGTCCTGCTGCACGACGAGTAGCATCACCATCAGTTGCAAGGGACCAAATCGGCCCGACAGTTTGATCTGCACCAGTTGCCTTCCAGCACTGTAAGGCACGCTTGAGGACACCCTCCATGTCCGTTGCATCTTCCGTCTTGCATGTGGGTGCAACTAGGATGGGGTAGAGCTCGTCCTCGCTGAAACAAGCAGCACCAATCATGGTGACTTCCTTCCCGAGGTGCACTTCTTCATCGTGGATTTTTTGTGCTATGGCGACAGCAGAGTCGTAGGTCCGAAGAACTGGATCTATGAGATTAGAGTGCTTCCAACAGAGTCCACCTATCTTGTTGTATCTGCTATAATGTACTGCCATTTCTTCAATAGCCATCTCGTCGATCATGATACTAACTCCGTGAAGTGATGTGATATCAGCGCGGGTACTAAGAATACCAGACTGGATGTTTGTATCGAAGTGTTCATCACGAATAGTGCCGATGGTGGGGGAGATGGTAGTAAAGGCTGCTCGAGTGCGAAGAGTGCGCAGAGATGGAATACTAAGCTTCTGATTTAATGCGAACAGGAGTTGACGGCCCCCAAGTCAGTAGACTAGTGTAGCAATGTCCAGATCATCAGCACCATAGCCCCATGGACGGTAGGCACCTTCCAGAGCGTCCTCCAATTTGTTGATGATTTCCCGGACACTGGTGCCATTGCCCAAGGCAACATTGATTATTTGTTGGAGGTGGGGGATGTCGTGTTCAGAAATTGCCATGAGAAGGCGGTGGTAATCGTCGAGCCTACTGAGAGCACTGATATACTCGTGAGAAGCATTAAGGCCCTGAGTTGGAGTTGAATTAGCGAGGACACATGTACTATGGAATGAAAGTAAACATACCTGCAGTCTCAATTGCCGAGCTTGATCAGCATAGCTTTGCGCAATGTCTCGCATATTCGTGAGGCCTAGATACTTGTAGTTAGTATGAGGCTTCGGATCCCATGCAGTTTGGGAGAGGTGGTTGACATGTGCAGAGAGTTCAGTGCATTCGCCGCAGGGTGAACCCTTGATCAAAGTAGACATGAAGCAACACTTTGATCGAATATAAGGTGTGCTAGGCTGGGTGAGATTGATGATGAAGGGGAGCCCATCCAAGCCATCATGATAGCGTTCCCAAGGGAGAAACATGATGAAGGGAGGAAGATCTTGCAGCCAGACAACCAGGAGTCCAGGACAATTGTCAGGATGAGCAGCAGAAAAATTGCTGGGAGGTTTGTTCAATTAGTCAAAACAAATGATGAAATGAAACCAAAATGAAACATACTACGTGCTTTGATCTGAGGTAAATGATGGGGAACGTGTGATCGGTTCATCACTGGCAGACACGTTCCTGGCTTCTTTGTGCCTTCGAGCAATTGTCTGAAGGCATTTCTTACTGCCTCGATGGGCACTCAGAGCATTGAAATGTCCAGTGTCCCACAGAGGAATTCCAGATGGGAGACTTGTTTGACACCACTCCTCGCAGTCAGGGCAGCAGATACTCCATTGTTGCTGAGCACCAACACGTGTGAGCAATCCACCAGCATGGAACACCTGGTAAAGTCCCTCGGTCATATTTAATGCCAGTTGTTCAGCAACGTTGATTTCCAAGATTGGGGGATCTCTCCATATCTCCGGTGAGGCAGAACGACTCAGAGATGAATCTGGAAGCCAGTAAGATGAGGGTCCTTCGCTATCTGGTAGCACAGCAAAGTCTGAGATTGAACTAGAAGAATATCCGGACGACTGGTCCGTGTCAATGAAATCTGATCTGTCGTCCGTCGTGTGATTTGATCCAAATATATGCATTCCAATATTAATATGAGCCGAGTTGTTACTGTAGTTCTGTGCTGTAGAATACATAATGCGATGGTCTAATGTAAGTCTAATGGTTTGGTGAAAGCTGATGATGCTAGGACAATGGAGAGATATCAGACATTAAGAACGTGTTGACGAGATGTGTCACATTGATATTGACGCGTCGTATTGCTTATTGCGTCACATGTTCTCAAAATTACATCTAGAAATTATTGTTCCTTTATCAGTGTGCCTCAATGTGCACTTCTTATTAAAACAAGTATCTAGATGTATTCTATAGTACTGATTATACCACACTTTCTGTACTCAACTAACGATTTGACGAAGAACTTGGGCCACTATCGAGAAACTCAGAACTTATGTTTTGAAACTTCGGGTGGCTGTATATTAAGGTTTACAAGCTTAGTAATGTCGAGCTCTATATCCGGGATTTGCCTTTTGCCCACCTCTTGCGTTATCTGAACCGAAAAGTGCACCGTGACACTGCACGTGGATGCGGGACTTTCCATGCGCAGTGCGCACCCGGGAACCAAGCAGGCTCGAATTCAAAAACAACGTGGACAGGCTGAATTTTCCCTACACGAGGATAGGCTGGGAAATAGTAGACCAGAAATCAGGCAATCCGGCATGAGCGAATAGTCATTGAACCGACACTTCGAGGTCGTGTTCTATTCGCTTCTGCTCAGAGTCTTGGTCACCGACGCTTGGAAGGACAGGGTTGTTCGTGTCCGTGTTCTGTAGGACTCCCTGCACTGTACTTATTCCATCCACATATGACCATGCATCGCGCTCTAGTTGTTTCTGAAATCCTTCTGGACATATTCGCTCATGTCGATACAATCCTGGACCCATTATCGTATGGCGAGATATCATTGGCTCGAAAATCCCTTGCAACGCTTGCAACGACATGCAGGACCTTCCACGAGCCCGCAATGGATTTACTCTGGGCTGACATGCATGGGATAGTACCACTGCTGGGCTGTGTAACGAGGCTACATCACATGATATATCATCATGCCGGAAGGGTCAGTGCGGACTAGTCTCGCTCTGTTCATACTATTTCGTTCATTAGCTCACTGAGTGTCTACACGCAGTACACTTGGTACTCTGAAGGTATCGATCCATTATGTGAGCACGAAGTCCTCCAATTTTTGCGTCACGCCCACCGCGTGCGCTCATTGCAAATCCCATTCGACAACCATTTTCACCTTCTTTCAGTCCTTCCTATCAAGACATTCATATTCCCGAGATTGCTGTCGTTATCAATGGCTGTACATCCGGCTGGATACTTACATCTCTTCCTACCCCCCACTCTGCGCCGTTGTTCGCTATCGCTCATTCATCCCGATTTGAAATTAATTGCGACCTGTTGTGTTGCTACCTTGGAGGATCTAACCATCAAGATCCCCTACCAAAGCACAGCGGATGAGCTGTGCCTGTTATCTGACAGTATCCGTCTGTGCAAGCGGCTTGTAACTCTGTATTGTCCACCTCTCGACTGGGCAGCATGGAAGCACCTGTCAAACCTCCCCACCCTTCTCTCAGTGGCGATCTCTGGCGAAGTCCTTTGCCCGTTGGACACGGATAACTTCGTTTTCACACGTTTCCTCAACGTCACGGCTCTTTCTTTCCATGTAACTACGGCTTCATACGTCATCGCGGTAATGCGCAACTCAGCATTCCCCTCACTGGAAGAGTTTAAAATGGTTGCCCGTGTTTTGCCGTGGGAAGATGCTGAGCAGCTTTTTCATGCACTGTCACAGTGCACGGCATGCCAGACCCTTCAACATATCGACATTTTATCCCGTGATCAAAGAGTTCCAGAGCCCTCAGACAGCTCTTTGACACCGATCACTCAATTTCTTGGCTTCACTCAACTCAGAACTCTGCAGCTCGCTTTTCCCCATTGCTGCATTCGCCTTGACAACCACCTCCTTTCGAAAGCCATGTCAAGTTGGCCGCACATCCGCTCTCTGAAAGTAGAAGACCCCCATCCTCACCCAGCTACTATCACATTTCGCGGGTTATCCACAGCGTTGCGTCAATCTCCCCACTTGCATACGCTGCACATATCAATGGATGCTCTGAATATTGATATCGATCCTCAGGCCGAGTCGTTTCAGCACACATCTCTACAAACATTGGATGTGCGCACCTCTCACATAGCGGATCGGGAAGCTGTCGCTTACATCCTCTTCACTATGCTTCCTTCGGTTGAGAGCGTTATCCATGGCTCTAGTGGACGCCACATCCGGTATGCATGGCAGGAGGTTAACAGGCGTCTCCAATCTCTCAAGTCTTCTGCGGTCCTTGGCTGTCGTATCACAGGAGCAACTGCAGCGTGCTGAACTCTCCATACGTATGTGTTCAACTAGATGTGCTATCCGATAACTTAATACTTAGAATGTGGGAGTGGGAGGTCGGGGCAAGCAAGGTAGCTTATGCTTCGACATGTAATTGGCTCGAGATTTATTATTTGCATGATACATTACTTATAACTAGCTCCCATCCATAGTGCCAGCACGCCTTACAGAATGTCTGGGTACTTGAGAATCAATCTCCGTCCTACTGCGTGGTCCATGTGCACCGAACTGAGCCGGCGTGTTTAAACATAACTGAAGTAAGTATACACGATTCATACGTAGCCTTCCTTGCAGCCAACATTAAATCACGCTCGCACTCGTTCTAACTAACAAGCGAGCCCAGTACAAGCACCTGCCGCCGTCAGCTCGACGACAGGTATCTTCGTGCTTGTCTTCCTCATCAGATACATCGGCACCCGATCGATCGCAGCAAGCTCTCGCATGGGATTCAGTTTGTTAGACAGATCAGAGAGGGGTGTTTTCTTATGGTCCCCTTTAGATGTTCTCTCGTAGGTTAATAAAACGCGTGAAAACGCTACTGAAGAATAATGCATGCGGTCAATAAACTTATTGTTTAGTGAAAACGAGTTACGAGAATGATGGAGTCTTGACCGTAAGCCCTGGAGATGCACAGAGCGTACGTATGATAAATGACGATGTCCACCTTTGACTTGTAATCCAGAGCTGTAGTAACCAGGCAATGCACTGCTCCAGAGCGACATAAAAGGAGCAAACGGATGTTTGCTGGTCCTGACGATAGCACCGCTAAATGTAGAAAGAGCGTTCAAAGATAATGACAACAGCTAAATGGTCAATGATAAGCAGATTTATCTCGATGTAGCCTCGAAATTCACATTCACCAGAAATGAGCTGAAAAATGTTCTCCAAGGGTGATGAGCCAGAGGCCTGGCAGATTCGCAACATGAGAAATGTGTGTACAATCTGTAATCAATTAGACATACCACAGAGAGTAACCTAGATCGTATCTTTACACGGTGATCATCACGAAGCTCGTCCTATTGGTAGATCGGTGATGTTGTTCGCTAGCAAGGCTCTCCATGGAGGAAGGTACTAGTAAATGTGACGGAGAAGTGTCGGTGTACCCTAGAATCATTGCAATACTAGTGTGCAATGTGAATCCGGCAAATACTCAACCCGAAGCCACCATGCTGAATCCTGATTCATTGGGCAATGGGTAATATAGATATAGCTGTTACAGTGTATCATGAGGCGGCGCACCGAAGTGGCGTTGGCGTTGGCCCTTACTATGGAAGCAAATAAGATCTACAGTACATATCCTGATAATGCATAATGCATAAAAAATTATAACAAATCAGGATCCAATCTTTTCGAGACGCACCAAGTCATCCATTCGTAGAAATGAGCTTGGTCCATATATTGCTGTTAATGTATAATTTTTGGTGCCAAAGATTGATTTTCTAGTGATTTGTTTGTATTTATTATTATTATGCATTATCAGGATATGTACTGTATATTTGAAATTAGTCACGGCATGTGCCGAAAAGTTGAGTACTGACTCAGTCCAGTGAGCTTTTGGCCTCCGAGTCCTTGCCGTGCCATCACCATCATCTGTCGTCATCTATCGTCATAGAGCTGGTGAGACTCTGGTATCGTCTTGACGCATGTGTTTTTTATTTGGTACGTTATCAAAGCGTCAGGTGTTTTGTGTTAGGCACCAATATCCACTGGGCGCAACACGAGGCATACACGATGGTACCTCGCTTCCTCGCAGGTGAAGCGCTAGCGGTTGTACTTAACCTCTAGATAAATTTACAGTAGCTCAGAGTGGGCTCTTCCCTAAATCATGGTTGATTCTCTTCACACCTCCAAGTCAACGGTTTCCTACCCTCTCCATATCTCTGGTGCTCAATTCTTGTCAAGTAGCATTGATGATCAGCCCACTGAATATATTCAATAGGTATCACCGTCAATTTCAACAAGCTGAAAGCGAATATAGAGTCTGCTGAAGTACGGATTGGTAAGTTACATTCGCCAATTACACATGAAGCAGGAAATCGGAGTTTGCAACACAAGTTTTCTCCACCCATGTAAGTGCTCAGCACTCGACTCCAATGCATGCTCTCACTTGAGTTACTACTGTGTTGTTGTACCGTAGGGTGCTTTCCCACGGAGATACATTTTCCTTGCATATACAATCCACGAAATGGCTTGGGATTAGTGATGTGCGGGCCCGGCTCGGCCTGAAAGCCCCGGCTTAGGCCCGGCTTTGGGGAGCTTGGGCTTTGCAAAAGCTCAGGCCGAGCCGTGAGCCCAAGCCAGGCCAAAGCCGCGGCTCAGCTTGGGCTCAACGACGGCTTTCAAGAACAAAATGATCTAAAATTCAATCTAAGCATATTTGTAACGGTGAGCAATCAACGACACGCGCATACCAATGCCATCCACCACGCCATTCCCAATACCACGAACACCATGCGCAAACGCCCAGTGCACGTCAGCAACTGCTGACATGGCTCAAACAAGTGCGGACGACAGACACGAGTAGGAGGAGGGAAGAAGATGAGGAGATCTCGCGAAGGGTAAGTGGGCATTGAGAACACGGCAGTGTCGGGATGGTGCTCTAGGGGACTTGATCCGATCTTCTCGCTGAGATGTCAGATTATTTAAATATCGACTGTACTCGGAGAGTGAGGACAATGCTGTGTCGCGGCGGGATCGATGATCATGAGATGGGGAGTGATATCCTGATTCATCTTGGTTGCTTGTACTATCCCAGCTTAGAGGTGGCGGCGAGTTGGCAGTCGGTATCTCCGATGCAATAGACAGCACTGATGAAGGACGTGTTGATCCTGAAGACAACGTGTAAGTGGATGCTGAAGACGACGAGTACATGGATGCTGAAGATGATGTGTAAGTTGATGCAGAAGAAGCAACTGGACTCGATAGTGCCATCAAAGACGACTCCCGCTCCAACTGGCGACGCTCCTCGTTTTCACGCTCGAGAACAATGGACATGGGCATGAGGATGTGATCAGATTTGCGAAGCTGGAATAATACTCGAGTGTCTCTCCAAGCGGGATGTAATGCATCTATGTGTGGTTTGCATGAGACTGCACAGTGCATGAAGATTCTCAGTGTTCTCTAAGTCCTCTGCCAAAATGGACCTTGTTGGTGACAAGCTCGAGGCTCTTGAACGGAAATGATGGCGCCAGCGGTGTCGTGTGGATGTTGATTCACCTGCCAGAGATGGTGGTGCATGCACATGGCGAGGATTGCAAGAATCAAGACCTGAAAACCATGGTTAAAGGTCTAACGAGACATATGAGAAAAAGTGAGGTTGCTCACGATTGGTGGGCGCACAACTCTGGGTTGGGCTGGATGAGTGGCAGTACACGTCAAATCAAGATGTCATTGAGTCCGTGGAGGTCTGTAAAATCGATATCTATGAGGGACAAAAAGCCGCGGCCTGAGCCACCGGCTCAGGCTTTTCAACACCTCAAGCCGGGCCCTGGGCTGTGGTCAGGCCCTGACTTGGGCCCGGCTCGGCTCGGCCTAATCAGGCTTGGCTTTGGCCAGCCCACGGCCTGAAGCTGGGCCGTGCACATCACTACTTGGGATGAAGACCAAGCATCGAGATATTACTTTCAACCCAGACGACATGTTCCGTGCATATAGTGCAAGCGAAAGACAAGGTGAAATAAGAGTTGCCTTAATTGGTTCCAAATTTAACCTCACGTGTGTAGAATACACCAAAATTCATAAAAAAATCAACATCGTCATCAACCTTTCCGGAAGTACAACAACTGAAGTAAGGATCTGTGTATGACATTGAACCCGTCTAAGTCATAGATTAGCAGGCTGAACAGTCTGTCCTGTCCAGCCAAAGCCTTGAGCTTCGGCCTACCACTTCCGAAATATTTCGGAAGTGCCCTCGGTGAGTCAGGATGATCATCAAGTGCCGTTCTTGAGGTTGACTCTCCCAAGGTTCCGAATTTTGGTGATAGGAAAGGTATCTGGCTTTCTCCGATCTCAGGCTAGTGTTGACAATGTGCTTTTAATAGACTGAAGTCGGCAAGTCTTCAGTGATTAACCACACATTTGGGGTGGAAAACGCGGTGGGTTGAACACGACATTTCAATAAGTGCAGCTATTCATGCTATGGATAGATCACCTCGGATGATAAGCCAGGCGAGGTCAGCATTGACCATGAGTTCATCTCACCTCAGAATGACAAGTTTGTTCTTCACGATAGCAAAGGTTTTGAACCACGGGATGAAGACAACCTCAAAATAGTTGAAGACTTCATTGACCGTTGGAGGAACATGCCCACTCCGGAACATCAGTTGCATGCTATTTGGTAGGGATTCTATTTTGACCACACCATTATAGTGGATTGACCAAATATATGAAAGGCTTTGCTTTGAGATACCCCGTGCAGGCGGACGTTTGCTAGAGACGGGAATGGAGGAATTCCTGACATTGAAAAATAGTGGAAAGCTGGGAAACGGTAAGTAAATTGATAGTCATATCTACTACTTTGGAGCTCACACTATCAAAGTTCCCGTTATCGTCGTTCTTACCAAATACGATATGATCATCGGTCGCATAGAACGAAATTTAGATGAAACCTATGCCAATGAATTGAATGACAAAGCCATCAAGGAAGTCATCAAGAACAAAGCAGAAGCCGAACTGCAGAATACCTGCATCGGACCTCTAAAGCAATTCACAGGGCCTGATATACCCTATGTCACGATCTCTAGTGTGTACCAATACTCCAACAGGTTCATGTGTGCCTCTGATTGTAAAATAGCTAAAGCAGACCACAAGCAGACACTCGTCCACCTGATCGAAATCACTGAAACCTGTGTCGATCGGTATTCTGCACCCGAGGCTGTGGTGATGACCTCCATCGCTCAGCGAGTGCGTCCTGGACTCAAAATAAAGGCATCAATTGAGTGAGTCTTGCTTGCTTCATTCTTATCTCGTGATTTATGCTGTGTCAGGGTTGGCAAGAAAAGTCTGTCCCAGTTTCATGTTCATGATTACTGAATACAATCTAAATTGTCGTGTCTTGCAGAATACTGGAAAGCGCTTGCGTCGTGCCCAACATTCAAGAACCACGAGATGTGGGATTGTCTACATGTGCACAAGATCCTGTAGGGATAATGCATTAAATATGATAGATATCAGTAGATTGTGATGCAGGAGACAGGCTAAGTGTAGGTTGCATTACCTTCTCACCCAAACTGGTAGTGTAATGCATTATATCTACTCCCCCTATTACCAGGCCTGTCCTATACACAGCCGCACTTTTTGCATTTTTTAAACTCAGCTATTTGTCACCACACATCACATCTCCGCATTTTTCAGCCCCACAGTGTGGGAATTACCCCACAACACCAAAAACATCGACCATTTTGAGAATCTCTTCAATATCAATTATTCCCACACCCTCCCCACCTCACTACAGCTTCACCACCACACCACAATAGCTCCCCCTTTAAATATAAGTAGTAGTTTAGTATATATATGTATAATATAATATAATAGACTGCTTTTTTTGTTTGTTTGTGTGACTGCTCCTCCTTCAGGGGCAATTCAACATAGGGTAGGGTACAAAACACTTTCGCATTTTTGCCCCTTTGGTGGGGAAGTGTTCTATGATATTCAGAACATGTTTATGAGCATATATGAGTAGATTCCCATCTTTATTTGACCCCCTGAAGCGTCCTACATCAATAGATATAGCACATATACAGAAAAACACAAAATATGTTCTTATTTAATTATTTATGGGTGAACAGACTTTGAAAAATGATTCCCAGCATCTATTCAACAATATTAACAATGTATCAGGAGCCCAGGACCATAGGAGAATCCCTTGTTGCATGGTGTATCCTCCCTCTCCTGATGGTTTACCCCCTGTGAAAATTTTTCCTATAGGACCGGACCTTAATTGAGGTGAGGGGTCTATTTCTATGTATATTTGGAGTAGATCTATCATATATCTGGCCCAGGACACACATAGGATCCTACTACAAAAACAAAACACTGAAGATCTCACTTTTGACATTTTTGATGTTTTACACTTCCTTACTCTTGCATAAATAATCTAACCTGTTCATATATCATTAGCATAACATATATACTTACTTTTTATGACAAAGATCAGCCCTACATAGGGCGCAAATTTGATATCTAAGGTACAGAGGATATTTCTACTGATAAGAGGCCTACATAGTAGTCAAGCCTGTGATAAGTTATCAGAGACCTGGGATACCTCTCATATATGTCCCTAATAATATATCCGAAGTTTTAGAAAGATCCATGAAGGACTGACCAAATGTCAAGTAAAATGACATATGTGTGAACAGTGACAATTGACATCTTTTTACACAAAGTCACATTTATATATGCTACAGGTCAAATATTTCATTGAAAATATGTAGGATATATGGTAGACTACTAGAGGAATCTATACTACATATTGCCCTGAGCTTAGAGGGTTATGGAAGGAATGTGGTGTATATTTGAGTTGATCCAGCATTAAAGTCCTACTACTGCCCAACTGACCATTTTCGATGTTTTGGGTCTTTCAACTTTCCCACACTCAATTTCTTATCTATTTCACTTCCTCAGCACTCAATTCTTGTTGGATTGTTTTGTAAATTTAGCTATATGATAGTGAATATATTTGAAATCCATTTCAGGTGTCTGATCATTAAATTTCGATGTTTTGAAAGTATGGGCTCCTTATCAGTAAAAATAGCAAGTATGCATACTAGCTCAAAACTCTGACCTGTTTTGAGCTGATCCTTGTCATAAAAAGTAAGTATATATGTTATGCTAATGATATATGAACAGGTTAGATTATTTATGCAAGAGTAAGGAAGTGTAAAACATCAAAAATGTCAAAAGTGAGATCTTCAGTGTTTTGTTTTTGTAGTAGGATCCTATGTGTGTCCTGGGCCAGATATATGATAGATCTACTCCAAATATACATAGAAATAGACCCCTCACCTCAATTAAGGTCCGGTCCTATAGGAAAAATTTTCACAGGGGGTAAACCATCAGGAGAGGGAGGATACACCATGCAACAAGGGATTCTCCTATGGTCCTGGGCTCCTGATACATTGTTAATATTGTTGAATAGATGCTGGGAATCATTTTTCAAAGTCTGTTCACCCATAAATAATTAAATAAGAACATATTTTGTGTTTTTCTGTATATGTGCTATATCTATTGATGTAGGACGCTTCAGGGGGTCAAATAAAGATGGGAATCTACTCATATATGCTCATAAACATGTTCTGAATATCATAGAACACTTCCCCACCAAAGGGGCAAAAATGCGAAAGTGTTTTGTACCCTACCCTATGTTGAATTGCCCCTGAAGGAGGAGCAGTCACACAAACAAACAAAAAAAGCAGTCTATTATATTATATTATACATATATATACTAAACTACTACTTATATTTAAAGGGGGAGCTATTGTGGTGTGGTGGTGAAGCTGTAGTGAGGTGGGGAGGGTGTGGGAATAATTGATATTGAAGAGATTCTCAAAATGGTCGATGTTTTTGGTGTTGTGGGGTAATTCCCACACTGTGGGGCTGAAAAATGCGGAGATGTGATGTGTGGTGACAAATAGCTGAGTTTAAAAAATGCAAAAAGTGCGGCTGTGTATAGGACAGGCCTGGTAATAGGGGGAGTAGATATAATGCATTACACTACCAGTTTGGGTGAGAAGGTAATGCAACCTACACTTAGCCTGTCTCCTGCATCACAATCTACTGATACTTAGCCTGGTTTAATGCAATAGAATGACACTATAGCCTGACATGTGCTTCACACTGACATCGTCAATGTGTGGAATTTCCATGACCCTCATCATGTAATGGGCATCTTATTTGCTGTCTTTGCATCCACCCTAATGTGATTTGCGCATAGTACTTGCACAGTCAAGAGTTCAGGGCAATGATGATGAACATGGTTGATAAGATAGAAGTTGGACCAGCAGCTAATCCCACCAAGACCATGTAGGCTGATCTCTTACGTGATAGATGAATTTCCATCTCATTGAATGTTTACAGGGCTTTTGGGTTATCCATGGTGGGCACTATTGCGGGCATCGTATCCGCCCTGGCGGGACCTGCGGCTCCCATCGTAGTACCAATCACAGTAGGTGCTGTACTCGCCGTATGGGCTTACGATGTATACCAGATATCATACGCATCACTATCTTTTCGTGAACAAAAGGATATTAACACTCCTTTGTCAGTCACGCGGTGCTTCAGCGCTTCATGGCATATATCATCCACTTGACGCTTGTGTTGCAGACACTTTATCTCGTGTCAGAAAGCCAGGAACTCACTCATAGGGCAATCAAGCTCGCAGTCAATTGCTACATCGAATCTCCAATGAGCGGAGAAGCCAATACTCGGATTCAGGATTACGATCATCAATTGACCATCGTGGATTGTATGGATAGCGATGCGTTGGATAAAATCATTGAGGTGATGCAATTTTATAGCATCGATGAGGCACAAATGTCCAAACTTCGGGAAAAGCCCCATGTAGTTCTGCCGGACGAGCCTTGGTCGTAGCACTTGATTGTTTCTTTCATAGATGGTTTTGCGTGTGGGTGGCGTCTGAGTACTGACGTGATTGCAGATGGTGCTCGCTTATACTATATAACTAGTGCTGCCATGGTCCGGTTCAGTCCGGTTCAGAGGGTCCTTGACGAGAACCAAGAACCGAACCATGGTTCGGTTCTTTAAAATTGTCGAACCCAGAACCAGACCATTGAGAATGGTTCTCAATGGTCTGGTCCAGTTCTTGTCTGGTCCGAACGCGAACCGAACCGAAAATTTTTCAAGCAATGGAAAAAACATTCACAAGACATCTACATGACATTGGGTAGCTAGTCTAACTGCATACCAACTGCATACCCTTCTGCCTCTACTGCTGCTGACACATGTCCATTCTTATAGGCTGCCTTCATCAATTGTAGCGCGGAGAAAGTGGATGATGCGAGTGCGTTGCGGCGCAGAGTTGATGTGATGCCTGCGCTGGAGAAAGCGTGTTCAGAGGGAACGGAACTGCCTTGAATGGGCAGGTAATCACGCGCAACACGAGCTAGTGTTGGGTACTGCAGCGAATGTAACTAATCAAGAATGTAAGCGGGGAACAATGAATTTGAGGGCTGACTTACACCCCACCATGCCACAACATCATCAGTCTCCTCCAATGGTGAAGTAAGGTATGCAGAGAGCTCTTGATGAGGATCGCACGTGCGATGGTCTGTAGCTTGACGTCCCATGATAGCGTCGCGCATCCAGGAAGCACCATAACGAATCGAAGCTTTCGTTGTTGATGATGTGGCCTCTGGCTCCTTGGGATGTGGTCCTGGGGCTGGAGGCGCTTGATAATATTTGTCAAACTAAGAATACATCTGGAGTTAGAGACCGGTAGGGTACTTAAGTTTGAATAGTACTCACCACTGCCTCAAGACGAGCCCTCCCGTTTGCGACCTTCGTTCAGAGCACAGCAGTCTTCAGACATTGTCAGGCAAATAACTCACAGTTTTTTAATCGGCACCCCATTTTATGCATGGCACATAGCCTAACACCACAGAGCGACAATATCCAAGGAGATCTGTTAGAGTTGAGAACCGGTGGAGGATCATGACTATCCAGGAAGCATATAGACTAGAACAAGTAGATATCTGTGATATAGGTAAACATATGTCAGAGTCTTGAGAATAAATTGATTAGTACTTACCTTCAAAAAGGCTAACAGTAGCCTGATTAACAAATAATGCAAATCTCGAAGACGGTGCATGGACACCGACGTCGTCATGGTTGGTGTCGAAGTCGAGGGAATTCGAAGGTCAAGGAACGGTTCGGGAAGGTTCGGGAAAGTCGAACCAGAACCGGACCACTAGTGAAGGTCCAGAACCCAGAACCGCTTTCCGGTCCGGTTCTGGCTGGTGAGGGAACCATGGACCGAACCACAGAGAACCGGACCAAAAGTCCGGTTCGAACCGTGGTTCTGGACCGGACCGCGGCAGCACTATATATAACTGTGACCATAATACTGTAGCCTACGATACTGTGTTCTATTAACGTCGTGTACTTACTACTAGATTTGACTCGAGCCCTCCAACGTGCCAAGGTACTGCGACAGTCTATAAAAACTTGGCCTCATTGTCAGACGATCGTCATTTGACGCCTTCTGACCAGGCTATGGTGAACTGGATTAATCAGATGCTTGGTAAGCTAATAAAAGAAAATGACAAACAGAGCTCCTAGAGGGTTTTACGAGCCACAGTTGTCTTGCGAGATGACAAATGGTCTGGAACAAATGCAGGCAGTATCACTGGCATGCATGCCGCAGATGCACGATTAATTATGTGCTGAAGGATCTCACAAATGAGTACGGTAGAGAGTTCGATGCATGTTGTTTATCGATCACCACGCACGAGTCTCTACTGATTCTAGATTGTGAGTCTGGCACAAAACCTTGGTTGTGTTAGGCCTGGTCAGTTAGTATACATCGTGAGACGGTCAGGCGTGAGAGAATTCATATATTTACCATATCATTACCGTAACAAACGGAAACTGTTAGGATGCGGTGCCCTACGAGGTGTCCTAAAAATTAGTGTACGAGATAAGGGTAAAGTGTATAGTACGAGTAGTTGAAAAATGTTGGTGTTGGTGTTGATGTTTCGTGACCACTGGACTCCGATTCATAGTCAGGCAGCAGGCTGTCGCGTCGGTCACGCGTAAATCACGTGCATATTTGCAATGAGACGCGGTGGCGTGCATTGTCTGGACTTCAATGCTCAATTGTAATTACCTACCTGCAAGAACGAGATCTGTACATGGACAAAGATTTGGAAAGGTATTTGTATCTGTTACAATTTTTACGGTTTCTCACTAGATCAATCAGAGCGCTTGCTTTGAGTCTTCGAGAGTCCCGGGCCAACGCGTCATCTTCGAGGGCGATTTCAATCAGTGATTCCGAGGACGATGATGACGATCGTTTCCAGTCTGGGCGGTTACAGGAAAATCGAGCGTCCAAGACCGAATCTTCGCGGGCCGCAACGCAATCCGTCCATTATCCTGAGCCTCCGTCTCAGAGTGCTCGGAATACCCCAGCAGCGAGCTTTTTGTCCGAACGAGCACAGATGGAGAGAGAACGACTCGAGAGGCTGAAGAGATTGCGCGGGCAGGATGCAGATGATGGAGGAGGCATATCGCCCCCTGCAAAGAGGCAACACATCCCCTCCTCTGAAAAACATGCTAATGGTCGAGCGAACATTGCTTCTGCTTCGTCATCTAGTGTTCCTTCGGGCTCGTCTGCAAGTTCGCGAACAGCCAGCACTAGTATAAATTCTACACCAACCTCTGAACAACTGTTCTGGGCCGGCGAACTACGTCCAACAGCTAACAAGCATTCTCAACCTCGTCAAGATGGAAAGCCCACTTTCCGCCTCACAGAGGTATTGGGTTCGGTACGCGTTAATTCTCCTGTGTTTTTCATTCATGATGCGTGATGCTGCAGTTCTTCAGAAATCTGATATATCCTTTGCTATCATAGCGTCATACGCGATGTCCGTCTCTTGGATATATGAATTCTTTGCGCCATCTACTCCAGTGATTGTCGTGGCGCAGCCTGATCAGTCAGGTCAACCAACCATCAAGAATATTCTTCCAAACTGGGTTATGACTGTTCCTTTTCTCCGCAATGGACGAGGTTGCCAGCATATGAAAGTAGGTCTATTGGTACAGCAGATTCTAGAAGGCTCCGCTGACTTCATCTCCCCTAGTTCATGCTCGTGAGTCCATTCGCATTACTACACAACGCTGACTGCATTTCTCCAAAGATATTCTACAAGACTGGACGGCTTCGCGTAGTCATATCTACTGCCAACCTGGTTGATCACGATTGGCGCGATATCGAGAATGTGAGTCCGCACTCAACGTAGGGGAGTTCTTGAACAGTTTGACAGGCCGTTTGGCTGCAAGATCTGCCGCCACGATCTGCTCCGATACCTCACGATCCCAAGGCCATCGATGACTTCCCGTCAATCATGCAAAACGTTTTACGCGCTGTCAACGTTCGACCAGCGCTTGCGAACATGCTAGCAAACGACGTCAGTCGTGTTAGGAATCTCATTTGCTGCACTATTGATATTATTTCACAGCACCCAAATCTACCCCTTCAAACTATCAACGACTTGCGAATGAAATGGGATTGGTCAAAAGTGAAGGTTAAACTCGTTCCCTCCATCGCCGGTAAACATGAAGGATGGCCGAATGTCGTCTTGACTGGTCATACTAGGCTGATGAAGGCCGTCCGTGACATGGGGCTTCGTACTGGAAAGGGAAAGGCTGCTAAGGACCTCCTTATTGAGTCTCAGGTATGTCAAACGTCTCCAGCTCCGCTGCAGAAAGGTTCATACTGTGTAGGGCTCGAGTATAGGAAATTACTCGACCCAGTGGGTAAACGAGATCTACTGGTCAGCACGTGGAGAATCAGCTGAAGACTGGTTGGACGAATCAAAAGCCAGACGTGCCAAGTTGCCGTGGCCACCTGTGAAGATTGTCTTCCCCAGCCTGAAGACAGTGCGTGATAGCGTCCTTGGTGAACTGGTCAGTCACGTGTCTTCGGCGATCACTCTTGAATATCTCTCAAAATAATTGACAGGGAGGTGGAACCATGTTTTGCCGCACGAACCAATGGGAAGCATCGAAATTTCCTCGAGAGCTATTCCATGACTCGAATAGTACTGGCGGACGAGTGCTGATGCACACCAAGGTACGTCAGTGCAAGCACACCCGTGAATCTCTAACCCATTCGGCTCTTCAGATGATTATCGCGACCTACCGCCCCAAGAAATCGATATTTGAAAAAAGCAGTCAGTCAAACGGAAAGGGAAAAGAATTGTTCGACAGCGAAACCGAGCCTGAATCCGACGACATCGAAATTCAAAACGACCCAATTGGCTGGGCTTATGTTGGCTCGCATAATTTCACACCTTCAGCATGGGGAACGCTTTCTGGCTCTGGGTTTAACCCAGTGCTCAACGTCAGTCAACTCACTTTTCTCACGAAGCTTTTTCTGATGACCCGTCAGGTGGTCAATTATGAGTTGGGAATTGTCTTCCCTCTTTACGATGCGAAGGACGCGGAGAGGGTGTCGTGCTTCAAGCGTCCGGCGAGGAAGTATGTGAGTGGACAGGATAGACCTTGGGTAAGTTCAATCATCGTGTGTAGGGGCGCGTAAACTTATGCCGTGTTTGTCTTTGTGTCAAAGATACAGGAAGAGTCGCAGTTGCTGCGGCAGAGCCAAGAGATGTGATCATGTGTATAGCCGATATCATTGTTACCAGGAAGCCTTGTACAGTTGAACATGACCCTGATCTCAGATCAGTATCTCGCAGTTAGATCAATGTTTTTCCATAGATTGCGGCTCTGTTACGTAACGAGGCACGAGCGAAGGAACAGAGTTTAGTCTTTGTGAGAACAACAGAAGCGGCACGAACTCTTCTTCTCGTACCGCGACTGTCATTCCCTAGTAGTCGTTGTCGACATTCTCT